GCAAGTTATCAATGTTATGAAACAATAGAATTTATAGTTTGTTGTTTGTTAAGTTTCATGTTGTTTGTAAATTGCTTTGACTTGTTCTGACATGCAAATGCACAAAATACCAATGTTGTTATTTATCTTTCAATCCCTTATACATGTGTTTCCATATGCCAAGCCTCCCAATGTATGAGAAATCACAATTTGTTTTTTATACTTCAATCTGTATTCCTACATTCCAATTTGCTAAAATAATTTTTAAAAAAATAAGTGTACCCGCAGCATCAGCGGGATGTGACCTTGTTAATCTTAAAGGTTAAACCTAACTATTTCCTAGTCATGAAGAATTTTATTCACTAAGAGTTTTTACTCATTAAATGTATTTAACCTTTTTTTATTTAAATATATTTAACCTTTAAATAAATTTGACGACCAAGTAATTCTCCGTGAAATGGTAGAGTTTGTTTATCTAATACTTTTTCTATCCTTTCCTTTTAAGTTTTATAAATTTGATAGAAAAACTACTAAGTTGAAAATATTAGATTTAATTAATTTATTGCTACATTATTCCGTTAAAACAAGTAAAGAATATAGACTTCTAATCCTAGCTAGTGATAACGATATTATTCTTAACCCAAAAAAAAAAAAAGAGTGATCATATATGTACCTCATTGTTCCCATCAATTTGTTACAATATCATTATTGAAATATTTTGAAATAAGATACTATTTGTAGGAGTATTTTTGAAATCAATTGTAGAAGAACGTAGTTAATATTATGAGTTTTAATGCATTAATCAAATAAATTATCTAATATATTGATTTTAAATAGAATATCCTTATGTATTGAAAAAAAAAAGATTATTCTTAGGACACTAATTAACAAAATTCTTCGGTGTCGTCTATTTCTTTTAATCCCTTTTTGTTAGAGTAATAATTAAGAATTGAGTTTTGCTAATATTAAGATTAATATCTTCTTCCTATACATTAAAAATTATAATCAAATTAATTGCCAGATATATATATTTAACATAAAAATAGCTATAAACAATAAAATAAACTATTCTATCCACTATCAATGGAATTTTTTTGGCTTCACAAGTAAGATTAAGAAAATGATATATTAAAAGTAAAAATAAAAATTAATTAAAAATAAAAATGAGATATGTGTAAATCTTTTAATCCTATTAAATTAAAAATGTATACTAATAATATATCAAATAGTAACTCAAATAATAATATATTAAAAGTACATTTAAAAATCTATTTAATTCAAGAAAATATGAGATATTGTAGAAAATAAAGTTGAAACTTTTGTTTAAGGTAATATTTGGTATAATTTTAAAGACCACCACAGTGATTTAATTACTATGGTGATAAGATCACCAAAGTGAGTTGCTTATAAATGATTTTAAATTATAATTTTTGATGCAATATTATAAATCTATGGTGTTTTTAAATTATTATTTTTGGTATTATATAAAAAAATAAATTATATAGTACAAAATATCCAAAATAACCTTAAAAAAAGTGAAATATTTAATACTTATTTAATCAATAATTTATAAAATAATTAAACATTATTTTATAAAAAAACTAAAAAGTATAAATCAATTTTGATAAAAATAATTCCTAAAAAATTTATTAAAAAATTTTATTATCTTTTTTTAATTAATATAAATTTTTAACATAAAACATTTTTAGAATAAATGATTAAAAAACTAGTTTTTTAAAATTTTTAATGGTCAATCTATTGGGTTAATATTAACTATATTTTTCATGAGGGTAAATTTGTTAGAAAATAATATTAAAAATTATTTTCTCGTGATGATAAAGTTTTTTCATCCTTTAGGTTTAGAGTCAGGTCACTCTCAAGACAATAATTTATCACCCTAATGATTTAAGTTTATTGTTATAAAAATTTTTAAATTGTTATCAAATAAGGTGATGTAATTAATGAGTACAAATCATTATAATTTTTAAACAAATTATATCATACTAAACACTTTCTAAGTAAATTATCACAAGGTAACAGTGTGAGGAAAAAACCTACATAAAGCTTTTAGGAAAATTTTGTGAAATTTTTAAATATAAACAATTCAATTAAAATTTTAATAAGAAAAGCCAAACTAGCATATTAATAGAATTTAATGAAAAAATCAATAATATTTTTAAAAAAAATATTAAAAATATTATTTATAATTCAAATTCAATTAGTACTTATTCAATAATAAATATTTTGACAAAATTTTTATTAAAAATAATTATCTAAAAATATATTAAATTTTATTTTTTTAAAATTTACACACTTAATTTATATAAAAAAATCTTTCAACCTATAATTTTAATTTTTAATTTTAATTTTCATTTAATAATTTTTAATTAAATTTTCATAAATTTTACTTAAAAAAACTTCCTGCAAAACTTCTGCGAAACATGATGGCTCAAGCTGTATCCCAGTACATGCGGTACAACACGAGAAAAAATTAAAAAGGGGAAGAAGAAAACAAAAAACTTGCGGACGATCATTAAATCAAGCACATGCGATGTGCTCCATTATGGGGCCTACAACTTTATTCCATCTATGGCAGAAAATCAATCACTCAATCCACTTGGTACATACCTCTTTATTATAGCCACCTAATCAGCCACATCTAAATAGTAATTGAACATGCCAAGTTAAGATAATTTTGCTTTGGCAGAAAAGAAGAAGAACATGGGAGATCTTAAAACCACAGGTTTATATTTTACAATTCTTCTGATTTTGACGATGATGACAATGATTCCATCATGTACAAGCCATGCTTCAATCAGTTCACAAGAAAGCAACAGCCTCAGCTTCTTCCATTGCAACGGCTCATCCACTGAATGCTTCGCCCATCATGATCAGCACGACTTAGGATTCGAGTTCTTAATGGAGCTGGAAACAAGCCAAATGGCTCTTGAAACCAGAAGAAGGCTGCAGCAGAGAGGTAGAGTTTCTACCAACACCCTCGATCCTGGTAATGCAGCTTGTGATCGTGATAAGTTCGGCTACTTGTGCACTCCACCGGGTAATAAAGATGTTAAAAGATCTGAAAATTGTAAAGGGAGTACGTTCAATCGTGGCTGCCACCAACAACGCAAATGAGTAGTTGATTTGCCAATATCCAGTGGCTTACTGGGTATAAAATCTTCCCCCTTGGCCCCCTCCTTTTCCCTAGTAAGTACTTTTTTTCTTGTTTCTCTTTTTTTCCTCACTAGTTCAAGTTAAATCTTAGATGTTCGACCGTGATCGGTTTCGAAGTATCAATGTGTCATTATCTATCATAGAAAATTATTATCGTTTCCGACTCTGGAATATATAATTAATTTTTATGTGGTGATTCTTTTGACTGATTTGTCAGGCACAGATATACAGAATTTTCATCCTCTTTCGGTTTAAAAGCTAATTAATTTTGATAAAAAAAGCTAATTAATTAAAGATTCAATGCTGATCTTTTAGGGGTCCTTATTTTTTATTAAAATTAAAACTTGCTGAGCGTACAAGTTCTACAAAAAAAAAAAATGTTATATAACAAATGGACCAAAAAGCAAGTTGTCGTGAAACATCTAAAAGGTCTAAAGGTGGTCACAATGTTGAAATTTTAGTTGCATGGGTGCTCATCGGTAGGGAAGGGATTTTAAAACTTCGTAGTATTAATAATTTATATATTTATTTAAATTTAATTTAATATTTTAGATTTTAAAATTTTTTTGTCTTACTCAAACTATAAATTATTTAAATCTATCCGTTAAAATTTAATCTATATAATAAAAAGTTTAAAAAATAAAAAATTTGGATAAAATATTAAAATAAAAATTTACATATATAATATAAAATTATATATTTTATTCAGATCGGATAAGATCGGATAAGTCAAAGCTTGAGCTTTAAATTTGTGGTCTAAAGTTCAACCTGAAATTTAAATTGATTTAAAAAATTTATCCAATAAAAAATTGCTTTTTGAAAAAAATAAAAATATTAAAATAATTCACGTATATATTACATAATTATAATAATTTAATTATATATATTTTATATAGGTCGGACGAAACTTTAGTTCAAGGCAGCTACCCCATCTATAATCTAGACAAACAAATTTTGTTATTAGTAAGTCACCAAAAAATTTAATGATTCCCCCACTAAAATATAAAAAATAAGTAGAATTATTAAAAAAAAATCCAAAATTTTTTAAATTTTGATTTTTCCCCCACAAAATTGTAAAAAAAAAAATAAATTTAAGTATAGGCCTTTTATAATGTTGAAAGGTATAAAACTATATTAACAAAATAAAAAAGATAATTAAGTAAAACAATAGTTCATAATGTAAATATAAAATTATTATTATTATTGGTAGTTAATATAATAAATTTTTTTATTTTTGTTGATATTAAATCTAAAAAAAAATTTTCAAAAAGTTAAGAAGATTCTAAAAAAAATTTTAATGGGTGAAAGAAAAATAACTATTTGATAGGAATCGAACAATTAGGTAAAAGAAAAGAGAAAATTGTGGAAAATGAGATCTAAATTAATTTAGTGTAAATATCAAAATAAGAGGTTTACTAAAAAAACTAAATAAACATTTTTTTTACTTTCTTTTATTTTAGTGTAGTCAAGTAAGCTTACTTGAAAATTTAAATTTTTTATTTAAGTTTTTAGATTTAGATTAATTTTGAAAGCATAATATAAAGATTCAATATATTTTTTTAAGATATCAAATTCATTTTTATTTTTGGAAGTTATGTGACATATTTTTATTTAGGCACAATAAATTTATTTAATTACACCATCCCAAAAGTAAACTTGAATAACATCCTTTTGCTTTAGATAAAAAGTATGTCTAAAACAACTATATATGAAAAATGTTAAAAGAATTATGAAGAAAATTTTTTTTATATAAAATTGAATTTTTATACTTTTTAATTTTTATACAAATATTTTAATATTTTATATTTTTAGAAATATTTGACTATTTTTAAAAATATTTGACTTTATATAAATATATTTAAAATTACAATAATTCTTGTAAATAAATATTATTTAACAATTTACCCTCGTAATATAAATTCTGGATCTATCGCTTGCAACAATTATTGAAAGCATTCTTAAATTATGCAACCAGCTCATAAAATATTAAATATAGATGAGGTACGTCAACCTACCTTGAAATCTAATATTAATGATGCTACAATGCATACAAATTTTTCTTCAATTAGAATAAAAGTACTAATAGATCTATCTCAAATGAAGCAGGACACTCCAAGATACCGTTCTATATGCAAGCATGCATCAAGTTTTGATCATCGTCCTTGCGGATTTCTAATCTCGGAAAACACTGCCTTAGACAAGAGTCTGTCAGAATCTTTGCTAACAAAACTTTGTTCATCACTTGTTGTTATGCTGAAAGCACTAGTGGTCTTGGAATTCATGACATGATCACCAATGCTACTGAACACTTCCCCACTGTCATCTTCCAATCCATAGTTTTTAAAGGGGCTCTCCACATCGATGTCTTCTTCAATGCCCGCCCCACCATTAGGCTTAAGCTCCTCCTCACCATTTTCTTGCAATTGTAGTGCGAACTCCAGGCTCCACATAATATCGGCCATCGATGGCCTTTCGATTCCTTCATCAAGCAAACAACTCATAGCCACTACTGTGAATTTTTTCAAACACTCAGGCGCAATCTTACCTCTCAAAAATGGATCAATGATTTTGTACAGAGTTCCGTTTCGATGGCATTGTTGTGCCCATGCTGCTAAGCTTGCCTGTTCCATCTCGACCGTGCGACTAATTGGTGGCCTAGCACATAATATTTCACAGAGGACCACACCGAATGAATATACATCAGATTTTTCTGTCAATTGTTGACGACGATAGTACTCTGGATCCAAGTATCCGAAGCTGCCTTTCACTACCGTGCTAACATGGGCTTTGGACATGTTCGTGGGGCCCACTCTAGACAACCCAAAATCCGAAACCTTAGCAACCCACTTCTCATCCAACAAGATATTTGTTGTCTTCACATCTCGATGAATGATTGTGTATTTTGCACCTGAATGAAGATAATGCAATCCGCGCGCGGCACCAATACAAATCTCTAGCCGTTGTTTCCACGGAAGAGGAGGATTTTCAGTGTTGTATAGATGATCACGAAGTGTTCCATGGGCCATATAATCGTACACAAGAATCATCTCACCGCCATCGTTGCAATAGCCAATCAATGAGACCAAATGGAGGTGGCGTAGCTGGGAGAGCATCTCGATCTCGGTCTTGAATTCATGAGCCCCTTGTTGAGACTCAGGATTCAACCGTTTGATTGCAACTTGGGTAGCCCCGCCATCAATGAATCCTTTGTACACGTTACCAAAACCTCCAACACCAATAATGAAAACACTGTCGAAGTTGTTGGTTGCGCCTTTGATCTCGGCCAGTGAAAAGTAGCGGCAAAGATCGGAGGGCAGAGATGAGCCACGAGACTTGGTTGACTTGTTGGATTTTGTTGTAGAGGAAAATTGGGTCCACCATGAAACTCCCTCACTGGAACCTGAATCTTTGACTCCCATCTTTCGCCGGAAAATGAAGAAACAAAGAAGAGAGAAAACAACAAAGCCCGCTATTACACCTACCACAATACCTAATGTTGTATTGTTGGTGTTCTTGGGCTTCGTTAAGCTTGGTGGTGAATTTCCTGGTGAATTTATGAGGACTGGATCAGGATTAGGTCCGGCAAGATCAAAACTATTGCTTAATTTGAAGATTTCTAGCCCATTCAAGATTGCATCAGAATAAAGAGTTCTCCATCCCGGCGAAGGATGCAAAGCAATCGAGAGACTTTGTTGCTTTACTTTTCCTTTCGTTCCTATTGCCACTACAAAATCCCTATATACTGGAAGCCCATTTCCACCACTCAAGACAATAACATCAGCTTGAGTTTCTGCAGTTAAATTAGCCAAGAAGATTTCAAAGACTCTATCACCTTGTTTTGTTATCTCTCCCTGAAACTCACAAAAATGTAACCTTACAAAGTAATTGAACCCAGAATCAACAAGAAAATCCCATGTCAGATTGTAGTTCTCATTCTCCGTCTTGTTCGTTCCCATGGTTCTGGCAGTTACATAAACCTCCCTTGGAGCAGAGAACGATTGTATATTTCTGAAGGTCAGATTAATACTGCTATTAACAGGAAGAGCACTTGGTTTCGCGATTGTCAAATAGTCTTTGTCCTCTAACCAGCTACGGAACATCCCAGTGTCATCTCCTGGAGAGATATGTCTCCCACCAACGTTGACTCGATACACCATCTCAAGGGCGGAGTTGTTTCCTAGGGAGTACAAGCTTCCCTGGCCTAGAAAAAAAATCCCAGCATCACTTGCTTGTTTGTAATACAGATTGGTTGGCATGGAAACGACTTCAATACCGTTGATGAAAGCATAAGAATCAGAGATATCAGGACTTGGAGTGAAGGTTAAGTTTAGCCTTTGGCCGTTATCAATGTTTACACAAAATTCTTTGATGAGAGTAATTTTGCCTCCAGCATGAAGTAAAGCACTGAAATTCCTGAGAAGGGTAAAGGGACCTGCTTTAACAGAGAAGAAAGCTTTATTAAAAGGGTCGTCAAAGCCTGGATTTGAAGTTGGATAGAAGTACAAGCGAATAAACTTTTGGCCAGCGGTGAGGGGAATTGAATAGGTGAATTCTGAGTGAGAAAGCCGAGCCGTGTAGTACGGAACGGTATCAACTGAGGTGGGCAGTGGTTGAGTTGCTGTTAAAGACACTGATGATTTATTATTATTGTTTTGTTGCTCTATGGGGGTGAATTTTCCATTGACATCTCCGATCCAAGGGCGATTATCGAGAGATCGGTTATCGGTGGAAGAACCACAGTCAATAGTGATGTTTTCTATGGGGTTGTAAGGGGTTACCAGTGAGTCTCCTGTAACAGGGACAGCAAGGTACTGAATTAAGAAAAAGAGGCATGGAAGAAAGATAAATAACAGGCTTTGAAGGCAAAAGGTACTTCGTTTGCTTGTATTCTCCATTACAGGGGAAAACAACAGACAAACAGAGAGATAAATATGAAGAAAGGGATCACGGATCAAGAAAACTTGAAAGTTAACTCCTGGACGGTGAAGCCAAGAGTCAATACTGTATTTCAATTAAATCTTGAAACAACATTCTCTTTCCTTTCTCCTTCCTCTATTGTTTTTCTCCGTTTTTTTTTTTTCGGGGTCAATTTGCTACAATTTCACGTTTCTTTTTTTCATATACAACTTGAAAGTTAATGTATTAAGGCCAAACACCATTTGACAAACTGGATTTTTGTAAATGAACAACTAATAAGCGACTAAGAGAGTGACTGAAAAAAAAAATTAAATTAATGTATTGATCAAATGGGTCATGGAAGACTTTTCAGAAAAGGCTAGATATTTTGGCAGGACTTTATTGGAGCTTTTTGCCCGTGAGGGAAATATTCCTTCAAATGTTTCCCATTTTTTTTCTCTTATTATCCAATTAAGATATAGGTAAATGTTTTTTCTTTTAAAATATGTCGACCATTGATAAGTTTGGATGTTTTAATGTTATATTCTTTTGTAGACAAATTAATGTCTTCACCTAAAATAAATGTGAATTAGTTTTTAATATGTGACAAAATTTCGTAAATTTTAAATTTTGATTTTTTTATTCAATTTGTTTTGAACCTGTATAAATTACCAGATATATAATGTAATGTGCAACTTAATTAAGTTTTTTTGTGTGATTTATTTCATTTATTTTTAAATCAAAGAATAATTTTAAACAATTAGTCACTTGAAATTATTTTAAGCTCTTTTTCTCTAAAAAGAAAAAAAAAATCTGCAGCAAAACCTTGAAGACCGTGCAAAAAAAATTCTAATGCATAATTTATATGGTCTTGACATTTAGATTTAGTGACATTGTTCATTCAAGGAAGTAGATTAGTAGGGTGAACAGTGGTTTGAGCCGTACTGAAAAAAATATTTTAAGTTTATTACAGGCACTAGAGAGTTTGAGCTCTGCTTAAATAGGTTTCTTAAAATTTATTTTTTTGAGTCTCATTATAAAATTATTAAAATATTTAAAATTTCATTTTACTTTTTTTTGGGGTTTTTATTGAAAAAAAATTCTTAAAGTAATTAAAATTCACTTTGACTTATTTTCCACATAATAGATTTTCATATTTTTTTCAAATTACAAACATAAATAAAAATTGATAACAAAATTATTATGCAATGTTCTTAAAATAAAAAAAGTATTAAAAATAATTATAAATTTTTTAATATTTATGATTGAATATAAAAATTTTAGTTTTTTTTATTATTGTTATTATTATTTTTCATAATTTAATATATTTAAATTAAATCTCCATTAAATAAATTTTTGCTAGGCGACTGTGTACATCTTCTTATTGAAAAAAAACAATAAAACAAATTCAAATTTGTCAATCTTCAAATTAAGGGAAAAAAAGAAATATTTATTACTTATTTAAACAATTTATAAAATAATTAAACAATATTTTATAAAAAATTAAAAAGTATAAATCAATTTTGATAAAAATAAGTTTTTAAAAAAATTTATTAAATAATTTTATTATCTTTTTTATTTAATATAAATTTATATTATAAAATATTTTTAGAATAAGTGATTAAAAATTATTTTTTTAAAATTTTAGTGGTTAACTTATTAGCATAATGTTAATTATATTTTTTATGAGAGTAACTTTATCAAAAAATAATATTAAAAATTATTTTTTTTCATGATGATAAAGTTTTTTCATCTTCTAGGATGAGAATCAAATTACTCCCAAAGCAATAATTTATGACCTTAATGATTTATGTTTATTGTCAAAAACTATTTTTAAATTATTATCAAATGAAGTGATGTAATTTTTGAGCACAAACCACTATAATTTTTTAGACGAATCACCTTATATTAAACACTTTTTAAGTAAATTATCATAAGGTAGAAGCACGAGAAAAAAACCTAGACAAAGATTTTTAGGAAAATTTTGTGAAATTTTTTAATATAAACGATTCAATTAAAATTTTAATAAAAAAGTGAAACCCATATATTTGTAGAATTTAATAAAAAATTAATAATATTTAAAAAATTATTAAAAATACAATTTATAATTTAAATTCAATTAGTAAATATTCAATAATAAATATTTTGATAAAATTTTTATTAAAAGTAATTATTTAAAAATATATCAAAATTTATTTTTTTTTTAAATTTACATATTTGATTTATATAACAAAATCTTTTAATTTATTAATTTTAACTTTTAATTTTAATTTTTATTTAATAATTTTTAATTAAATTTTCATAAATTTTACTTAAAAAAACTTCCTCCAAAACTTCTGCGAAACATGATGGCTCGAGCTATATCCCAGAACATACGGACTGATCACTAAATCAAGCACATGTGATGTGCTCAGTTATGGGCCTACAACCCTTCTCCATCTATGGCAGAAAATCAATCACTCAATCCACTTGGTACGTACGTCTTTATTATAGCCACATAATCAGCACTTCTAAAGTAGTAATTGAACATGCCAAGGTAAGAGAATTTTGCTTTGGCGGAAAAGAAGAAAATGGGAGACCTTACAAACACAGGTTTATATTTTGCAGTTCTTCTGATTTTGACGATGATGACAATCATTCCGTCATGTACAAGCCATGCTTCAATCAGTTCACGCGAAAGCAATAGCCTTAGCTTCTTCCATTGCAACGGCTCATCCCACTGAATGTTTCGCCCGTCATGATCAGCGCGACTAGGATTCGTGTTATATAAATCGTCTTTTAGCTAAAAGTACCCATCTTTTAGCTTTTTTTCTCTAAGCAAACCACTTTAAGACCGCACAAAAATTCTAATGCATAATTTATAGGAAGATCTTGATATTTGGATATCACGTTATGATTTTAGTGACAATGTACATCGAAGAACGGAGACTAATGGGGTGAATGGGGGTTTAAGCCGTACTGGAAAATATTATTTTAAGTTTATTTTGTTTTCCATGGGGTAAGGATGAATTTATTTCAGGCTCTAGATATTTTGAGCCCTGCTTAAAAAACATTTTAAAATTTATTTTGTTGAGTCTCATTAAAAAAGCTATTAAAGTATTTAAAATTTTATTTTACTCTTTTTGGACTTTTATTGGAAAAAAAGTTCTTAAAGTAATTAAAATTCACTTTGACTTGTTTTTCCCGTATAATAGTTTTCATATTTTTAAAAATTACAAGTACAAATAAAAATAGATAACGAAATTATTATGCAATATTTTTAAAATATAAAATTATATTAAAAACAATCATAATTTTTTTTAACATTTACGGTTAAATATGAAAGTTTTAATTTTTCCTTATTATTGCTGTGTTATTATTTTACTATTTTTATAATTTAATATATTTAAATTAAATCTCCATTAAATAAAATTTTGGGCTAGGCGACCATGTACTTCTTTTCTATAGAAAAAAATAAAACACAATCAAATTTCTCAAGCTTCAAATTAAGGGAGAAAAAGGAAAACAATATTTCTTTCGACTAAGGGAGAAGCTAGGATTGATCGTTTTCCCGTAATTACTTCTAAAAAAGAAAATAGTATACTCGTCGGTAATAATATTTCATTGATAAATTTAAAATTTTATCAATAATTACATTGATACTTCATCAATAAAATTCGTCGATAATTCATCAACATTCTATTAATATTTTATCGATAATTTTATGATAAATGATTTATAATGGATCAGTAAAAATTGATATTTTTTGGTATTTCATCAGTATCCTATCAATACTTCAATGACAAGTTTTTATTTTTGTTGCTAAAAGCGAAAATTTGAATGGTAAAATCTAAATTTCATCAATAATTTCATTAATTTTATCTATAATTATTTAAGAAATTTTTAAATTAAAAATAAAATGTTTGTAAGTATTTTAAAAGTCTATTATTGTTTATTATTTATTAAAAAAAATCAAATCCACATCATAAAGATTATATCCACAAAAATTCTAAAATCATCCCAATTATAAAGTTAAAATCTATAAAATATATTATTAAAATCCATAAAATCCATAATACAAGCCCTGAAAAACATTTCGTTAGTCTTGTGCCTTATAGTCGCTAGCTTATTCATGAGCTTATCATAAGCACGCCCCCTCATCCTTTTAACCTCAACCTGAACGCCACACCATACAGTCCGTGTATGAATTCATATCTAACTATTAACGATAGAATTTTTAGTCAGAATCATGCGTGAGGTAGCAACGGCAAATTATCTGCATTTGTTAAACTTCCACCTAAAAACTGAGCAAAAATGACATTCAATTGCATAAATCTAATATTTAAACCGATTACAAAGATTCATAAAATAAAGGTAAAAAGACATAGCGGTCTTAAGTTTATACTCTAAATTGATAGCTACTTTCCAGTTTCCTATACTCACAGATCAGTTGTACTTTACTATACTCGTCATATACATTTATATGTAATACGAGATTGGTATGAGGATAATGAGGATAATGGATTGCCTAAGATTAGGAGCTTGGCAAAAAGTTTATGAGCTGTGCACAATCTTGTTGCTTAACATGTGAGTCAAGCTTGACTTGAGCTAACAAAGAGTGACCAGTAGAGATTGAATAGTAAGCTGCTTAGACTACAGCTTGCCACTATTTCAACTTTAATTAATGCTAATAGTTTGAATCCATATTATCTCCCCTGAATATTCTTTCAACTCTATGCCATTTGCATAATCACAACTACCAGAAGTCATTTAACACTTCTTGTATGTAAACTTTTCTATGTGATTACAATGAATATAAGAATTTAAGAAAATCGTCTGCTAGGATTGTATAGAGAAAGAGAATGAATAGGTGATTGATTTTACTAATCTTAAGATTTGCAAATTGCAATTTAGGCAATAAACGAAATAACAGAGGTGACAACAAAAATAAAACATATACTAGCAGATGCTATATAATCCTCAAATTTTCTCATCTCAGTCTCAGTTTTTGCTTTTTGATGGTTCTCCTATGCTTGAATTTTCATTTCTTCACGTTTGAACCTAGATAATTGCCTTATAACTTTACACTTCAAGTTACAGATGGAGTGTTAACCAAAAACTACCATTGCATAACTGGTTATGCAAATTTTTATATATAAATAAATTACCCTAAGTGTCCCTAA